AAATGTTAGCTTCCATAATTTTGAAAATGTCTACATCATAAGTTTGTAGGCTTTTCTCTACTTGGATCTTTTTGTCCGGAGACATTCCTCCAGCATTCACATGGATCTTTTTGTCCGGAGACATTCCTCCAGCATTCCACTGTAGAATCTGAAGATGGTGTGATTCGCCCTGACGAGGGCGATTTTTCTTATAGCCTTTTTTAAAGCTAATCATAATTAATCGAAGTCAACAACGAATGCCGATAGACTTACTTCCACGTGGTGCACCCTGGACAACGTATTTTCTTACGGCAAAAAAGTCTATCACTCGGCATTCGTTTTACTAAGAAATATAGATTCAGGTAGTCGGAGAACCCATTATGTCTTTTGTTCGATTAGTTGCAGCACAACCGATTTGGATGCCTGCTCAGCAAAATACGTATATCTCCGAAAATAATTTGAATTTTAGAAAATTCTCTCGAAGACATATTCTTAAATGGTTTAACTATGAAAATATGCAAAAAAGATTTGCTAAATTTTTTTAGACCGGAATACCCCCCTTAAGTTGACTTCAGGCTTCACAGAGGGGAAGGTAAATCAAAGTGAAACTTGTCGAGAGGGAAGGAACAAAAAGGGTGTCTTAAAAACGAAGGTAGAAAAGGTAAAAAAAGTGAGGTGAGCATTATCAAAGTAGTAGAATATGGCATACAGTGGGATGATGGTAATTTGAAGTGAGAAGTCAACTGCCGGTTAATAGACATTTTTTCCGTATGAGTATACGTTGCCCAGGGTGCACCACGTGGAGGTAAGTCTATCGCACACCCCCCTTTTTCACAATATTATGAATAGTGTATATCTCCGAACTGTATTTAACAGCGTATTGTAACATTCAAATAAATCCTCTTTTTCTGCAAATTCTATGACTTAGCATAAAACTTCAATGTTCTTGACATTCTGGGCTTAAGTTGCTTAACTAACTTCATAATAATAGTAAACATTTCGATTATCGATTCAATCATATAAAATTTTTTAAATTGTCAACTATTGTTAAATATATATTTATTTAGTTTTTCATCAAATAAATAGGGTTTGTTTGATTTCTGTGGATTTTGAAAAATTTTGTTAATTTAAAATTTGTTCATCATTATGTTATTTCAGTAAAAACAAAAAAATTGTCGAACTTTAAAAATAATCTTCAAAGTTTCAATTTTAAATGGGTTTTTAAGTTAATTTGGTATTTATTGCTAGAAATATATCTAACATGTTATCATATTAAAATCCTTTGTTATTCAAGGTCAAATTTTGACCTAAACGCGCTTGTTATTACGCCGAATTTCAAATTGCTGTCACAACTATGGTAGCTTGTCTGGCGAATGGCTGTAATTATTTTGATCCAAGTAAATGGTAATTTTGAATTTATGTCCATAAGATTGTTATCTTTTGTTGCCGTTAAAGTAGCTTTTTTCTCTTCAGATCCATTTTTAGCAATTTTAAAAATTTATGTTGCATATTTTTTCTTTACTTTAGATTCTACTTATATTTATTCTTTTACATGTTTTTACATAAAATTATTAATTGTTTATTTCCCTTGTTTTCTGATTTAGCGATTACGAATTGAAAATACCCGCTAGAAAAAGCTTATGCCAAAATACCATTCCTTTCTTAAATGTCCTTAGGGAGTTGCTATGCGTTCACTGTCTAACTTCTCCGTCTTTCGTTGCGGAGAAACAATTTATTTCCTGTATGCTGTTTTCTAAACACTATCCAAATGGTTATTCTGCGAAGATTTTTGTAAACACAGATGGTATTCATTTGACGGGTGAAAATCAACCCGTTTCCAACTCTCTCCTCATAAGTTGGAGTTGTATACTTCGTTGGCAACAGGAGTATCTCTCGACGTTGAGTTGTGTCTTTCAAGTTTACATTGTTGGTTTAATTCATCCACAAACTCCTGACGACTCCGAAGCATCAAGTGCTCTTTGCAATACTCATCAATTCAAACATAAAGACGACATCACACACACAATAACACCAGCAAAGCACTCCTTTGAAGTGAACGGGTTTGCTCACGATGTCTCGTTGGATTTCTGTTGTTTGGCCATTTATATCGATAATCGAAGTGATTGCGATATCATTTCGAAGGCTTTTCAAACTTATGCTCTCTGTGACAGCAAAGAGAGGGGTAATGTATTTCATTTTTTAATAAAATTATTTGTTTTACTTCGGTGTGATGCTAAATTTTATTTATTGTTTAATTTATCTTTATGTTAATCATTTATATCTAGTAGTTATAAAAAGACTCATCAGTTGCTTGAGTTTGATATCTTTCAAATATGTACTTAGTCAGTGACGAAGCAAATTTGATATTCTTATAATTTAAATTGGAGACGAATTTTTCGTTTATAAATTATAATTTATTAGGGTCCTTTTTTAGGTTTTCGTGTATTTTAAAATATTTATAAGCATTTGATTCATTTATACTTTCTTAACCATAGATTTTGGAGGTTGCGTTGGTAGTCTGGTGCAGAATTGTTTGTTTGATATGGAGTCACAATAGTAAATTCATTTTGTTTCAAACGAAAGTTTACTGAAAGTTGTATCGTTTTTCTGTGTCACTTTGTCTTCTCATCACAACACATTCCCTTATGTATGGCCACTTGCGCACCACATATGATCAAAGAATCATCTTTCAGGGCAACGAATTGTCTTAACTTCAATTGAAGTGTCATCGAAGACCTTTGCCTCTGAAGGAGAAAATATTCCAAGATGTTTCATCACTTCAGGAAAATAAAAACAAACGAAAATGGAAAGGCGATTGATGAATGACTGGAAAACGAGCTTTAGCATGCTCCTTTGGTTGTCTCAATAGCCGTCATTTAACGCGGGATGTTGAATTCCTTGCGGCAAGGCATGTTGTCTCAAAGATCCTCATGTTTGCGCATTGGTACTCGAGAGTTGTAATTTCGATATAGTTGCATTTATTTTGTTAGTCGTTAAGGCAATGGTGAGAATTCCTTGAATGACCAATCGACAATTTTTATTTAATTGATCAATGCTTATTCGGTAATTGAAACACTATCCTTCTAAATGAGGAGATGCTCTAAACTAAATAAGAAATAATGTGTGTTTAGGTGATCTAAATGGAAGTGTAGATCATAAAGACCAAGTGTTAGATTACAATAATGCAAAACCATGGATGCATTGAACACGCAAAGAAGTGGAAGCAGGAAATTGGAATAAGTTGATAATCGAGTTAGGGTATAAATGCAATGCGTATGGGAGGATGTTTCATTTAATTTTCAGCTATTTTAGCTATTGTTTTCATTTGTGTTTTGTAGTTCAACGACCGCTGCTCGTGTTTGTGAATAAGGCGAGCGGTCAGGCGAAGGCGGAGAAAATTTTCTCCGAATTCGCCGGCCCACTCCTCACCTTCTCCGGTTGCACCTTCGATGTTGTCTACACAGGTATGCTCGCCAAATGCCTTCCGCTTCATCTCTATACGTTCCTTGCATTCTTGTTAATTACTTAAATCATATTGCTTATTGAGTTTCTAAACCAGATCACTCAGTTTTAGCTACTTGCATATATTTTAGTTCATTTTTCCTCACCGTAAGGACATTTTGTTTCCAATATTGATGTGATAATGTCGTATGTTTATGGTCAAAACCCCTTTCCCAAAAAAAGGTTATAATTATTTCGATATTTAAATGCCTTCTAACAGGGTCAAATTCTTGCCTATCTAAACCTCCTTGTTGACATCATTTGATGTTGCCATTCGGTTTTAAGTTAGTGGTATTTCACCTGGCTACGCTCAGTTCCATTTTATTGCAAATCAGGGGACATTTTCCCTTTGAATTAGTTTGATCTTCATTTACCAATCCATTTTGTCGAATTCAGTCTTAATACCTCTGCGGACCTTTAAAATATTATTAAACATTTTATTTCATGCCAAACCGTTTAGCTTTGCCATTTGAAAGTACCATGGCGCCAGATATTAAATAATTTACTTCCAAAAGAGTCGATTGGCCTTTTTATTAAAGCGTCGCAGTAGCAATTTCGGATAAATTACCATTTGTCCAGTTGATCAATTGACCACCACTGAACGAAAGGTGAATTGCTGCTAGTTATTCGAGATTGCATTTCCACTGTGCAACTCGGTTGCTCCAGGCTGATGGCCTGGTGAATATTGATAGATTGGTCGATTGAGTGAAGAGAGAAAGATTACCCGTAAACCGTAACAAAATAGACAAATGATAAATGTGTATGCATGCATGTGTGTGTGTGCGCCTTTTAAATGTGCCCTACCGAATTTTGTGGGGAAAGAGTGACAAGGCTCCACTTGGAGGTCATCACTGACGAAACAGACCACTGCGCCTATCCTGCATAGTTCCCGATTGAACCAATAAAGTTTATTTTTTACACGCAATTATTTAAGCTCACCTTCTTTCAAATATGTTTAACGCGTGGGTTTTAGTAAGGCAGCGTTAACGATTCATACATTTATTTGGGCTCATATTTTGCCTGCTCTTAATGAACCACAAGAAAGTTTTCTATAATTAGAGTAATAGCAAATTCCTTAAAAAATTATGCACCTTGCTAAACTTTTTAACCCCAATCCGAAATTAAAAATGCAGGCAGAAGTCACTGCAGGCTGCCAGTATGCGCTAAGTCTATTGATAGTATCATCTGAGTACTACGTTGTGCTAATGCATTCAGTACATTTGGCCTCCAAATTTTAACCTTTCCGGGGGTTTTAATATGTCTAGAGGTGATGCTTGATAGACTTCGTCCAGTTCAACCAAAATTCAGTTTAATTCTGAAGCTCAACGTCTGGTCTAGGAAACAAATCTAAAAACTGGGTCTCGATATGGCTCTTTGCTTATTCTACTTTACCAATTTTATGCAAGAAATTCTTCCCTCAAAGGTAGACCTCAAAAAGCTACTATTTTTTTCTAGAAATACTTCAAGTGAAATCGTAGAAACATTCGCAAGTCATTATCTAATGGGATTATTTTCTGCTTCTCTATTGCCAATTGAAATAGTGTGAAATGGGATACAGTTGAGTTAAAAATTGAAGATTAGCTAATTAGTGGCAAAATAATTTAGCCGATCCAAAGCGTACGTTCGTTTCAACTACACATGCATCAAGATCTCCACCTTTTCATATTATTACGTTTATTACGTGGTTTCCTATTATGATTTTTTATTCTTTTATTTAAGAACTCTTGCAATAATGATGTCGCTTGGAAGGGGAAATCGACAGTCAAATTTTTAAAATTTTTTATTTACTTATTTTTACCAACTTAGAAACTTTATGCTAAAATTGAAATTTTAGGCTGTATTTTTTCTAAAAATGGTATTATCTTCTTCTTCAAAGATGTGGATTATTAAAAATAATTCGCTACCAAAAATGACGACAGAACTAAAATTGCTTGCCAATCAGGCCTCCTTACTTTGCACAATACAACAGGGCATTAACTGTAATTTCAAACCCCCATACCGGGATGTTATCGGTTGCTTTTTTTGCAAAATATTCGTAGAAGCCAATTTCAAATTGGTGTTACTCCCACGTGTGCATGCGTAGGCATTTTCTTGGTCCTTAATATGATTGCTCACAGTGACCTCTAAGCGGCTTTTGCTTGTGATTATTCCTTGGTGCTTCTAATCAAGTTAAAAGCAAGCTTTAATGAAAAGAGCATCTATTCCTTAGACTTTGAGTAAGTTTTGTTACATGGCTGATCAAATCACCTGATGTGTGCCTACCGAAACTGCGCCTGAGGTCAATGAAACTGCCTGGAAGTCGTTTCGTTTGCACCAGCAGATTCGCTGTGCCTGAACCTGTCTTGTGATCTATGGATTGCACTTCCTGCTTCACGAATTTCAACATTCTTTTCATGTATGACTGGTGTTGTTCACTCCAATATCATCGGTAACCGATTTAGCATAGTAACACGACTCAGAAGTTTGGCGCCTAGTCTGAGTGTTGAAACTCAACAGATTTTACGGAATCTGATGGTCGTTACTTTCGTGACTTCTGGTTTGACAAACGAGCAATTACTGCGTAAATGTCAAGAAATATTAAAATTTAAATGAAAAGAATATTTTGGATTTTAGTTTCCTATTTGAAGAATTTTAACGTGGTGAATATTTGGAACCAATTAGCCCTGGACCAAGCTTGTACATTTGATTTCTAATTTCAGTGGAGGTCGATTGGAATTTATTTAAGATTTTTGCAATTATTCATTTCATAAATAAGTTCGATTTTTCGTTCATGAGCAACAGAATGCCTTTGTAAACAAAATTTTGGTGTAGCAACTAGTTTTCAAATAAATTTTTGCGATTTTTTGCTCTTCTTGTGCGCTTGAATGGGCTTCTTTTCATCTCTCCTCAAGAACACAGAGGCCACGCAGCCGAGTACATCCGGGAGTTGTCGCCAAGCAAACTGAAGAAGTATCGTGCTCTTGTCTACGTCTCTGGTGATGGCGTTCTCCACGAACTCGTGAATGGCCTCTTCAATAGGGATGACTTGACTTACCTCCCCCCTTTCGCCTGCATCCCCGCTGGCAGTGGAAACGCCATGGCATCCGCCATCTGCTACCGCTCTGGGTACGTTCGCCAACCACCTCGGCCCAGCGCCACCTCATGCGCCAAGCGAATGCTTCTCCCTCTCTCTCTCCTTCTTTCTTTGTATTTACGATAAAGCAAATAAACAGAACTTGAAAATGCGTCCGAACTAGAAGCGAACAATAGATTTAGGGCACCAAAATGTAGCCCTAATTTAAGTCGCGAAGTCTTCATATCTTTCGCTCTTTATTGAATGGGTATTATTCTTCCAGTAAGGATCTTTCTCATTTTGTTGAGCTAGTAACATTACTCCTTGCCTTGCTTTTCCGCGAAGTAGCACTTTAATCGAATTTTTGTGCCCATATTTGAGTTTCTTGCCAAGGTCCAACAGCCTGGTGTCTGGCCCACCTCCGAACTTCTAAATTGGCAAAATAGACCAGCGAGATCGGACGTTTCGTTTCCTTGGCAGAAAAGGTTGAAACTTATAGAAATGCCTTTTTCTTTCACACGGGTGTTTCAAGCCTATAAATTATCCTACTCATGGATCAATTTCTTTACGACATTGAAATTAACCTTGACATTGTTTTAAGAGGGATTAGACCCTTTTAATTCTTATTTCCATTGCAATGGCTTGTATCTGAAGTGTCTAAATGTCTTCATAACTAGACCAATGTTAATATGCTTTAGAGCGAGGAAATGGTTATTTCTTCCAAATATTTTCACCTAAATGTCATAATAAAATCTAATTTGATTATTAATGCGGTTTAGCTGTATTATGCTTGTTTAATACTTATTTACTGAGGCGGTCTTGAATTTGTCATTTCACATTGTTAATTTGAAAAAAAGAATAATTTGTATGGCATTCTGTGAATACTTTTGTCCAATAAGTTTCATTTGACATTGATGTTCGAAAGATGTTTCAAACGATATCTAACGGTTATTTCTTAGTTTTTGATGTGTTTTGGACGACCTTAAAATCCCTTTTGTGGACTGTCTCTAAAGGCCGTATTTTGCCCCATTTTAAACTTTGCAAATGATATCTGTCAGTCACCACTTTGCTCATTAATGTGCATATGACTAGATTGCGCAAGTTGACGTATTATATATCAAAATGTAGAATTTCAACAAAGAGAAATCTGCTCAAGTCCTGTACCATCCTCTTGGCCCTGCCAAACGCCTCAGCTACCTCCATTCCTCGTGAGCCTTCGACTCCCTTCCAACTGCAAACCCATTGGCAGATACACAAACCAATGATCTTAGAAGCCGACATCTGGACTCAACCACGGCTCTGTTCTGTTGCTGTCACCTGGGGCTTCATCTCCGAAGTAGACCTCCGGAGTGACTTCCTCCGTTTTCTAGGAGGTGTTCGCTTCAAAATAATTTTCGCCTTTCTACTAATGAGTAATTCAATGTCATAGCCTCCTCTTCTGAGCCATTCTTCTAACACCTCTGTTTCACTTATTAGGACTCAGGAAGTACCGTTGCGAATTCAGTTTCCTACTTGCTAGACACGACGAGGCTCTTATTAAGCAGTTGAGAGACACTTTTGGAGATCGTCTTCATGTTGGTTCCAGCAATGTAAGGTTCATTTTCATCATTTAATACAAATTCCACCTGTAGATGCACTTTTTTAAAGCTAAGAAAGTTTGAAATAAAGCAGAATGTAAGATTTTTGTAAGGACTGTGCAAGATTGCCATTTCTTTCCACTCTAGCAGTTGTAGCACAACCAAACCTTGCCTTAATCTTAGCAATACCTACTTCAATATTCAATAGTATGCAATTATTCCCCAATTTTTTATTATTGAGAAAGTAGAGAGTGCTGTTAGCAACGCCAATTCTGGTTGTGTATCACTGACACGGCCTAGTGTCATTATAGGACAACATTGTTTACGCTGACCATTCAGTGGCCATTGATCGGTGGTTCTGCCGTGAAACGATCAACTGCGCGGCGTACGTTCGAGCGCGGAAATTTCCAAGTTGGCTTTATTCTCACCGTGGTACAAAGTAGTTCACAATTTTCGTAATGTTTAGTGGAAATAAATTATGGATGTATATCAATGTGTGTTTTGTGATATTTCAGTAAAATAAATTAATTTAATATTCAGTGAAAACACATACTATGAGTGCACTCTAAAATCTCAAACGCTGACTTACTGAATTAATTTACTGCAAGATGCGTCTAAATTTTAGCACTTATTAATACCTACTGAATTCATTGAACCCTTCACTGAGAAATGGGAACAAATGACCACTGTAAAAATACACCATTGTACGCCATTACATACATAGTACTGCTACATAGGAAAGATGGTGGTGAAATGTTGACAATTTCTCGAGCAAACGACTTGAAAACTATTGGATTTATATTTGATCTCAAGTCTTGTCTACTATCATGGTCCACTATTAAGTCTGCCGTTTTCATATTTCAAAATCCCTTCTACTTTGGTGTCAGCCAGATCGGGTGAAGCTATTCATTTTGACTCTATTCTTTCCAAATCTCAGTAGCTTCTACGAGTTACAATGATGTTTATCTAACCATAATATTCCTTTTCGTAATAAATTAAGTGTTTAAAAGCCTTTATATTTTGCAAAGCAGTCTGCTTCCACCAGTAACTCAAGCCTGGTACCGTCAGCTGCATCTCGGAAAAGGTTAGTGAAATTTGCTTACCAAAACTCAATCAACGCGAAATCTTACTGACCTCTAGATCACCCTTTCTCATCTCTTTCCTCTACCTCCAGATTTTTAAATAGTATTTCCCTAGTACGCAATTATCGCATTGCATTTAACAGCTCCTGTTTTTATCGCGCCGTTGATGTTATGACATATTCCGAATGAACAATCTAAGCAATCACATGCGCACGCACGCACATATCTATTTTAGCGCATGCCTCAGTAGAAATGTTTTTTTCCTTTTGTGACGGCCACTTGCTACTTAGTCCATTTGGTCAACTCCAAAAGGTTTAGTTAATACTCAATCGATTCTGGCTTTGTTGCGGTCTATCACTGCGCGCAAAGTAGCGCAGAGTTGGAGCCAACTGTTTGAAGTTAGTTACCGTGCGGAGGGTTGGGAGTGTGAAGGCACTGAGGCAGTTGGAGATGACGCGCTCCAGCTTGCGATGACGTTGGATGTTGAGGAGTTTTTGTTGTGGTAGGTCAGACTGCGCTGATTAAAGACAAGAAATTGTAACATCACCCTGAAATAAGTGCTGTCTATCTCCCTCCCCTTCTTGAGTGAATTGTCATGTTCACCCATCATGGCAATTTGAAAGAATGAATAAGAAAATGGAAACCTCATGTCTGGAAAAAAAGAGCGAATGAGTCAATGGAAGGAAAACCTGCAGATAAAGAATCCATGAAAGTATAGGCTCTGAATAAAATGTAGCAGTCGAGCGATGCATGTAAGTGTATGATAGCGTTCGAAGTTGCCCAGTCAGTGATGGAATAACACGTAGTCTTCAATGCTACATTGAATGAGGAGAAAGAGTGAGTAGTTTGTGAATATTTGGCTCTTCAGGTGTGAACTACTCTTCGTCAATTCGGTCATATGACATCAGAGACTCTTTTAGGTCCTTTGGTTTTTGTTTCTTCTGTGATCGGATGACCATTGCACTGCTTATCTGCTTTCGTGAACGCATTTTTAGCTTTAATTTGTGCTTTCTCAATCACGTGTTTCGAATTAAGGTACAATTTTGGTTTAAATTATTGAAAACAATTGCATAACTGCAAATATTTACGGATTTTTATTCGTGTCTGTTGTCCTTCTCAGTGATTTACTATTCGTCAGACCATGGCATTAGTAAACACTCGCCAGTAGGATAAAAATTGAAGGATAATTTCCCAAATTTATCCTACAGTTTGGGGGTTTTACTAGAGATTTTTCCGTTTGCTCTGTACTGTCAGTTTAGTAGAGGTCAATCGAAATCACAATATTGACCCTCACCAGTTTCCGCCCAATGAAGTTAACTGGTAGGGTGTTTTTTTATTCTTTCAACTATTATGTAAACAAAACTGATCATTAACAAACCTATTAAACCTCTCAATTATATACAGTTTGATAGCAAAAATGAAATCACTAATCATATGTAGAAAACGATTGCCGGCTAATATCAAATAAAAGAATAGAATCGTCTACATCCTTCAATTGCGTAGGATCTGCATTGTCATGAGGACACAATATTTCCCGCATGCTTGACCAGTCTCTGTTTGAAGTCGGATCAAATTCCACTTAATTGAGTCCTCGACTCTTGTTCAATCCAGTTCTCAATCTTTCCTGATGCTTGAATGGGTATTTTCGAAATTTGAGGCATGTCTTAACTACTTCAAGTCTAATTTTTGGTACTCCAGCCCGTAGTAGTAGTAGTAGTACTAATTAAACAACTATCGTTTCACTACCCCCTTCTCTCCCTCCTTCCCCCCTCCCCACCCCCCTCATTATATGATTTAGTCGATTTTCGTGCTGTTTGACGCCGTGTGTGTGCTGTTCATCAGGAGCTATGTTTATTTCTGTTGACGCAGATATCTGCCGAGTGTGAATGAGAGCCTACCCGATGACGAGGGCTGGATTCGTATCAAGGGGAGTTTTGTGGGACTCAACTTCCTCACCATCTCCCATCTTGAATCCGACGGAGTGTACTTTGCTGAACAGGACATCGACTCCAATCACATCGTTGTTCATTTCATGCCTCCCAACGTGTCCAGGTAAGTGGAACTTGTGTTTATTCCACTAATAAATAAATTATTGCCGGTACATTAATTTTTCTATCCTCCAAATTGTGACCTATAGTTCCCGCTTTATATCTGAGGCGAGAAAAGAGCAGGCCAATGCCTAAACAAATAGTCATGTGCTAACTAAAGATCAGGTTTCTTGCTTCTAAATTTGACTTTAGTTCTCCTAAGCTGCAAAGCGAAATTGAGCTCATATTTAAGCCAAGTTGCAAAATTCTTTCCAATTTTTCGGATAACGGCACAAACATGTATTGAGTGGAACTGCTTTATTCGCCCATCTATTCAGTGGAAAAACGGCTTTAAAGATACCAATCTGGTAATTGGACTAATTGAGGTCAGGTCAGTGAGTTATTCAATAAGTGATTGTCTTTTTACAGTGGTTGAAAACATGGATTAACTGGGAATAAAGGACTATGCTGTCACAAACTCAACCTGTGCTGTTTAATTTGATTTTGAAAATAACTTTGATATTTTGACTCATTTGCACTTTTTGAAGAATTGCCTTAAATATCCAAATTGCCTCCGAGTTTTTCGGGTCCTAATGACAAGAGTGAAAAATGAGGGTCGGAAATTGATAGGAAAAACGATAAGACTTTGGAAAATCACTTTTCCAGTGAATAGATAATTTGTTCAAAAGTGCTTTCGACCAACGCACAGAATGTTGATGCTTCATCAGCTAATCGAATCTCTTTCTCAATGGACAGGGAAAGTTGAACACCATTTGACTTGAAAACACTTCTCCAAAAAACTGTTTTTATAAATCTTACATTTCGACTTGGTTATTAGTGTATCGACCTTCAAAAATCTCAAAGATAAATTGAATGCAATTTTTTCTGAAAAGGTTCCGTGTCTTCCTCACTTCTCTGACAGGTACGATGCTTAACTCGAAAGGTGACTTTCCATAAGATGCAAAGGGTGCTTTTAGTAGATCAATAAGTGGGCGAACACTTTTCTGTGGCATTGGAATTCCAAAATTTATTGGTACGCACAGATTTTACAACTTTTAAAAATATCTTTCCTCCCGCGAAAAATAACTTAAAATATCTATTCCACTCCCCTTATTTATTTTTTTGTACTCTAACGATTTGTATTTAAATTATATCAGTGGAATGAAAGCTTCGTAATAATTTTGAAACGAAATTACAGAAGAAATGAGAAGTTATGAAAATAAAAGGGTAAAATAGAATGGAGCGCATGAACAGAAACCATAGAGTAATAAATTATTGGAACGTCTGTTTGTACATTATTTGCCAAATGAGACGAAAATAAATTTCAAGGTGATATTTAAGGTGATTTAGACATGAGAAAAAAATGCCACTTTATTTTGGTTTTCTCATGTTCCATTTTTCCACTTTACGCAGGTTTGAAATGATACGGTTAATGACATCAACTTTCAATGGTCATCCTAATGAGTGCGCTAAAACTGGGATTTCCCTCTACGTGAAGGCCTTTAGAATAACTCTAGATGAAGAATCCTCCAAGTTGCCCTATCTTTGGAGTATCGATGGGGAGTCCTTCAACGGAATGCGGATCTTCCAAGGTGAATTGCAATCCCAGGGCTACCCTATCCTGGCACTACCCCACGTTCCACGAAATCCAATTAACCATGCGCCTAACTTTCTAGGACACTAGCCACAGTAGTACTTCTCATTCTCATTTTCCTGCAAAACTTCTATTTTTTTCTTTTTTGGCACCTTACGTATGGAATCTCTTTAGTTGCTATTCTATTTTTGCGGTTTTTACTTTTGATTTGAGAATATGGCCAATTTTCAAGGCTTATGAAGTGTGATTTTGTCTTTCGGTGTAAAGAGGTGTAACTCGTGTTTTCCTCAAGTGATTTGTTTGGTGTAGCGGGTGTGATATGCAATAGTAGTGCAGGCCATGTGAACACTCACTCCAAGGTACTTAGCCAGCTGGGTCAGTGAAGTACATGCAGAGCCGCAAGTTGGTGGCGGTTATTGTAAAGGGCTCCTTTTTGCTATGGGCAAATTCTTTTCCAACAGGGAATCGGATTCAAAGTGGACTAGATGAACTTCAAGTTGGGTGCCTCATTAAAGAACATAAAGAAGACTCAGAAGCGTAATTCCCTCAACTCTTTAAATTGGGTAAAATGCGGAAAAAGCATCGATCTTTAGAACTCCTTATTCGGAATGCATAAGCTGGATTGAATAAATTATCATACGATAAAGTAACACTACCTCTTAAAACAAAATTTTGTTCGTCAGAGCATTAAAGGAAAATATCCTCTAATAAATGCCCTTAAATGCTTTGGAAAAATGCAGTAAATTTTGGAGCATAGAAATAAATGTGAACCATATTTGCCAGTTTCGTGTGATTGTGTGGAAGATTATTAATGGAAACTGGCCCGAATATACACTATACATGCGAATTAATTTTGATCCATAACAAAAGAATGTCTACCCCGTTGATAGAGCTTAGACAAAACTCAATTCATGCAATAACTAAACTTGTGGGTTATTTGGGGCTTGATCTGACGTTTCTGCTTTATTTGCATAACAGAGGAAAATATTAGTATGACCTTTTACTAATTTAGGTCAAAAAAGTGATTATGAATTAAATAAAAGTAAAATACATTTAAAAATTTGCAAAATTTAAAATTGGATTAAATCGGAGCGCGAACATGCAGAATAGATTCTCCTTAACTCATTCGGATTAAATGTAAATGAATTTGATAAATTTTGAAGAGTGACTCTTTTGCACTTGTCAAAGGTTATTAAATTCTATTCGTAATGTGTAGGCAAGTTCAAAGAGCTAAATATGTTAATAGCTTTTAATATATATGTACAACTGCACCCCTATCTACAAGCATCATGTAAATCGAATATCATTTTATTCTTACTCCCGATTGCAGATAAGACCTCAACATTCATGCTCTCTCGATTCCTCATCGTGGTGTACTCAATACTCTCTGGATCATACATAACTTGGTATTTTGATTTTGGAATAGTTGGTTCTTGACTCCAGAGTTACTTGTGAAGCAATCTTCATCAGTTTGCATAAATAACACGTTTATTATATCTCGGGAAAATTCGTTTATCAATAAAAACATAAAATCTTAATATTATATGAAAATAGCATATCATTGGCAGAAAAGGTAAGTGAACGAAGGAACGCTGGTTTGAATGTCAATGGTCCAAAGGGAACTGGAATTAACCATTTAAAATATTAACAGCCATTCAGTTTGATAATAAGCGATTTAATGCTATCGTTATGATTAATAAGCAGCAAATAAAAAAATTTTGATGAAAGACTAGATAATTGTATATTTAGATTAATTTTTACTATTTATAAAGAGTGTGAATGAAATCAATTATCTTTCAATACAAATTCACGGTCAAAATGAAAGCTTTTGAAATTATTGAGAAGCGAGTAAAATGCCCTACTAATTTCCATTTTTACTACATTTTGAACTTATTCACATAAATAAAGATAGAGCTAATTATATTATTATGTTTTCACTAATTAAAATAATTAATTACATATTTCAATTATTATCAAGAATTATTAAATAAAATAGGCAACAAAAGTTTGTTTATATGTTCCAAAGAAATTGCAAAATTCCCTGGTCGGTACTTGCGATTTTCCAAAATATATTTTAGCCAACTTAGATTCACCCCGTACTTATTTTCAATAAATGTTCGCATAGATGAATTTAATTCCACCACTGCCATCATCATCTCAACAATTGAATACTCTAGAAGTAATTCAAAAAAGTAATTTTACTTTCAGTTTGATTCCAATGGTTCATTTTGTTATGAGCATTGTCAAAGCTGCTTTTCTTCAACATGTTCTTCCACGGAATGCAGCATTGTCATATGTCCATTTAGATGTGGAAGTACATTGCATAAATGCAAATTAGATGACCATATGAGCCATATATGTCCACTTGCAGAAGTTCCTTGCATTTGTGCTTCCTTCGGATGCCCCAGGAGAATGAAAAGATGTCTTCTGGGTAAACATCTTCTTAAATGCCCTGCTAGTATCGTACATTGTACAGTTGAATGGAATCGAATGCCGAGGTATTTTGCGCTCATTTTGTTATTTTATTTATTATTTAGACTTCTTGGCGAAAAGCGCCCTTTTATTTTACCCCCAACATGCAGTTGTTGCATTACTAATCCAATGTACAGGAATCGCTCATCTGATGTGCACTCTTCATCGAATCATTCTTGTTTACTTAGTTTTCACACGGACAAGTTTGATCTTGCTCTAACAGCTAGGGACCAAGCTGTGCTGGAATCAGGTTCAAAGGTTTCTGATAGAACCAAAGGCGCCCTCCGTTGTGAATTAACTAGACTCTACCCCGCTTTGCCCATGACATCACCTCTCTATAATGGGTTTTTTTCTTCATTAATTTGTTCTTTAAAACCAAAATAACTTTAGATTCTTGTCGATGTCAACAGATGGAATTAGATTTCCGACTATTTCATCTCCATACGCCGTGGTTCCAGCGTTGCCCTCTGGATTACCCATTTGTGAGGTCTCCGATCAGGATACATTCTTTGCTGTCTCTTCGAAATTCGAAGATAATCAATATCTCTTCTTCTGCGGTATGTAATTATGTATATTAATTGCAATTTACACATATACTTTCTTCCAGGTGGTATTTTATACCATTCAAATAGTTTAATGAAGATATTAGCGTGAATATTTCTTATATAAAGCAACCTTCTGTCTATGTTAACCACTATACGATAAAATAAGTGAATTGCATGCTGGCGTCAGTTGTGAACCAAAGGGAATCTGCAGACGGGACTCGCTTATTCTGCGCTTCCATGCCATTGGCTTGTCTTCTGAAGGTTAAAAGAAGGCGTTATCCAGTCAGAGTGTGAATCTCTTTTTACTGAGAGTTGACAGTTAACGCTGGCACTTTGCATAGACTTGCACATTCAATCTAAATACTGCAAAATTTAACTTGTCAAACAAAATTGTTATACTTCACCGCGTATTACAAACCTGATGAATAATTAATATTAAATTCGTTCGATTATTTGATTAGAAAATAGCCTAGTTTTGCGTCTGTTTGTAGTCCTTTTCGCTAGCTAAGAAATTGAGCTTTGTTTCAGATATGATGTATTATCTTTATCTTATCTGCATCATGTTAAGACTTTGAAACTTTGAAAGGAGGATGAATTCATTCGACCGCCAGTCACTAAACGTTAAATATTGTGAACAAGAATTTGCTCACTAATTAGAGCGGTGAGTCATGGGTTTTGAGAGTTGGAATATAGACCGTCCAATAAGCGAATATTTTCCCGTCAAGTGGGCCACGAACAACTTGTTTTGATCTAGCTGTGCTGTATCCGATTCGAAAAGTGATAGCTGCATCCTAAATGAAACTTACAAAACTATAATCCGAAATTAATCCCACAAGTAGATGTTTCATTTGATTGATCATGAAATCTTTAGAGAATATAATAGAATTCTCATCAGTTCTCAGTTAGTCCAAGTTGAGTTCTTATAGTAAATGAAAACCAAATCAAAGTTATTATTTGCAAAGATGAGTAATAAAGATCAACTAAAAGTATCAAAATACGCAACATTTATTGTGACGAAAAAATAATGGCTTGAAAATTTCATATTTGAAGCTAACTCTGTTATGAGAATACACTGAAAAAGATAATTTGAAAATTACCCTGTTTCTAGATTAAACTTCTAACAAACTGATTCACAATATTTTCCTAATGGGCCTCATGAATTTGATTTGCAAGATTTCCTAGGTCATTTAATACCGGTGCCTTTTAAAGTGCACGGTCCATTTGCACTTCTGCAATTTGTAAATAAAGCCCAAAGGAGAAACAAGAATTTTGCCTGCATCGATTGCGACATCCCCCTGTCGAATTCCGTGGAAATCAGCTGAAGATGTAAACAACGCAGTGGAGTTAAGGCAGCAGCTCATGTTTATCTTTTACCAATTGACCTCCTATTTTTAATTGTTATTTCTGCATTTACTACATCAATTCTAACAATATCGTAGTGATAAATAATTATATATTTATTTCAAATGGCAGGCGTTTTGATAGTTATCATTAGCCATTTAGCTGACTTCAGGCTTCACTGAGAGGAGGAGGAACATCAAAGTGACAAAAAGTCGAGAGGGGGGGGGACAGAATAATGATTCACAGATGTGACAGAGACAGACAAAAGAGCAGAGAAAGGGTAAGATGAGTACTGTGAATGGGTTGAATATGGCATACAGTGGGGGTAGTTTGAAGTCAGAAGTCAACTGCCGGTTAATTGACTCCTTTCACCATGTGGAGGTAAGTCTATCGCACACTCAGTGATAAATAATAATAAATTGGGAAAAAACTGTTAGCCTTTTTTATTTCAAAATCCTGGTGATAATTTTGCAAAATACTTTGTTCCCTTCTGTCATTTTAACAGACTATTCGGTGTTTCAAATAATCTCTTTGATATTCACTTTAAACATGGACTTATTTTCTATAGTTGATATAGTAACAAATTTTACCTCCCCTTCTTTACTTTAACATTTTGATAATGATGACACCAACACTAAAAAGTAATTTAAAATATTTCTCAATGTTTTTTTTTCATATGTAATCGATTCCCTAGATTTCTTTTCTGACATTTGGGTCTAAAATACTCACTTACCTGTAAAA